TTAAACAGGAATATGTAGTTTGTTAGGTGGACCGGCCATATTTCCATGTGAGCCATTAGAGGGAGACAGGTGGAGCCAGATAAGCTCACCCACCTTCCACCCCCATTGTTAGAGAATATATGACAGCCATGGCAGGGGAAAGCAGCAATCTTTTATCTGCGTCTCAATCTCTCTCTTTTTCTGGAAGATCCCCAGGAATACCGGGCACGAACACCTGACTTTGCCTGTTCCTGCAGTCCTCTTTTCACCTGTGCTCTGTCTCTGTGTCCTGATTCTTCATGAGCTGAGCTACCTCATTAATGTCAGTGGGTTCCTAAACTTGACATTAATGTTGGGTTAATCATACTTCAGTTTTAGGTTCTGCCCCCCCCCCAAAAAAAACCCCCCAAACCTGCCCATAAAACAAGTTAGCAAGAGACTGGGAAAATAAATACACCAAATAAAATGTATTGATGGATTTGATTTTTAAAAATCATATCTATGTCCCCTAGGGCATGGTCCCCAACCTTTTCGGAACAGAGGACCATTTTGGGGGGGGGGTGTCCATGCGCAGGGGAGTGGGGGCACCAGCCATGCTGGTGGGTGGGTGTGGTGCGCTCATGCGCATGTGTGGGGGAGTGTGGTGTGTTTGTGCACAGGCACAGATGGGCATGGTGCACTCACGGGTGAGTGGGGCATGTACATGTGCATGCATGTGAGCATGCCATGCCCACCCACGTCCACACATGCATGTGAGCACACCATGCTCACCATGTGTGCGTGGGAGGGGCGGGAGATCTGTTTCCGTGGTCTGGTTTTGCGGACCGGGGGTTGGGGACCTTTGTCCTAGCGGACAGATATATTTGTTAACTTCTTGTTGAGGGCTTCTCTTTTTAACCTTGTTTCTGATCTTTAGATTTTCTATGTTGGACGATGAAGGGGAAAATTTTGACAGGTTGTTATGTGAAGGACTAACTAAATGATTCAAACTGACAGGTAAATGTAAAGGTTCCCCTTGACATTTAGTCCAGTTGTGTCCAACTCTAGGGTGCGGTGCTCATCCCTGTTTCCAAGCCGTAGAGCCAGCGTTTGTCTGTAGACAGTTTCTGTGGTCACGTGGCCAGTGCGACTAGACACGGAACGCCGTTGCCACTGAGATGGTACCCACTTATCTACTTGCATTTACATGCTTTTGAACGGCTAGGTCGGCAGGAGCTGGGACAAGTGACGGGAGCTTACTCTGTCGCGTGGATTTGATCTTGCGACGGCTGGTCTTCTGACCCTGCAGCACAGAGGCTTCTGCGGTTTAACCCACAGCACCATCACGTCCCAAACTGTTGTCAAACTGACAACAACAGGCTAAATTGGCCATTCTCAAACGGGGGGGGGGGACATATGGTATATTTGAAGGAGGGGTTGGAAACAATTGGAAACAATTCTTCACACACCACTCTATAAGTTTTTTAAATGCAGTTTATATCGTCCTGATTTGGCCTGTATTTCTTTCATATTATGTTTATGGCTGTGGCCCAAAAAAGGTTGGGAATGGCTGACCTGGGTGACCAGCTAGACAGCTAACTATAGTATGCATAGCGGTCTTTCTGTTCCTCCAGGACTGTTTTAACCTTTTGTTATCAACGCCTGTATTTCTTTCATATTATGTTTATGGCTGTGGCCCAAAAAAGGTTGGGAATGGCTGACCTGGGTGACCAGCTAGACAGCTAACTATAGTATGCATAGCGGTCTTTCTGTTCCTCCAGGACTGTTTTAACCTTTTGTTATCAACCACTCAAGAAAAAAAAATGTCATTAGGAGTAAGCAGCCAGTCCTGCTCTGTTCATCATAATAAAAGCAGAATAAACAATATCTTATTGCAAGCAAGCAAACACAGTTCTTTAATGCTGGCTGAGTAGAAAACACAACTAACTGAAACGGGGGGGGGGGG